GCCCGTAATTACGGCTCCCACGGCTGGAGTTTTTTTTTCAATGTATTCACGAAGTTCTAAAAAAAATAAATATTTCCTGGGAGGCAATTTGGCAACATTCGAATGCTCATATGGCGTTTTGCGTAGCACGGTAGTATTGGTCTGCGTACTACTTGTATTGTTGTATGTATTACTTACTGATAAGTATGATTTTTGAGAGACTAGTATGATATTTTTCGGCCTTACATATTTACCCAGCTTTACAATGCGCACGTGATGTCGCATTCACGATTGCAAGATTCTATCAATACTTTCGATATTGATAGGACTGATTTACTTTAGCTTAACACAATATAGGGACTAACCCTTTTTGCCGTACTAGAGAAGAACGCCGCATGAGCACTCAAATGTTGCCAAATTTCCTCACCAAAAAAATTCACTTTTGAAGAGTGTTATGAATATTTTTCCTTGAAATTTTCTGACTTTGAAGATCAGATTACGAACGAAATCCTCTAAAAAATCGAAAGAGATATATTCACAAATATTCCCATGAATTCGTGATTTGTCGAAGGAAATTTGGCAACGCCAGATGGCTCATACAACGTTCTTCCTTAGCACGGTCGTTTAGAGGATTGAACAATAAGAAGCGTCGAAATAAACCGTACCATAATGAAACTGCCAGCGATGCCACGCACCCGTGGTTCAGCTATCTCGGCGATGTAGATGGGCAGCAAGGTCTGGCAACCACCGAGCCAAAGGCCGCCGATCGACCTGGCGATGATGAGTACGAAACTGGTTTGAGCGAAGTATACGAGAACCCAGGAAACGATCGGGGAGACACAGAGGACGAGCATGGTCGTCTTTCGGCCGAGCGTGTTCATGAGCGACCCCAGTGGGAGAGTGCTCAGGATCGTCGTGATGTGCAGGGCGTTCACCACCCACGCTTCCTCCGACGGGGTCAACCGGATCGCCGAGTCGGGCTCGCGGAGTTTCTTCAGCGTCGGGGCCGGCCATCCCGTCAGGGCGCCGGCGATGAAACACGAGAATCCGGCTGGAATAGAGTAGATGAAATAGAGAATTTGTAGGGGCTTAAATTTTGTGAATTTCATCTTTAAAATGGTACTGCTAGGAAATCTGAGTACGAGGATATCCCTGGTCTCTAAATTGGACAATTATTGGAGAACATATGACAAAATAACCTAATTTGCTAGAATAAATGTGTTTAAATGGAAAATAATATATATATTTTTATAATTTATATTTACAAATAACGTCAGAAGGCGGCACATTTTCTCAATTTTAAATCTATTTTTCTCCAATTTTCCATGTCAGAAAAAAATTATGAAAAATACTGCAAACTCACCTCATAACGCACTCTGAGATGAAGCAATAAAATTTGTTGTGTGTGCAAATTGGTGGTCGTTTGACCACCAATCGATCATGCTGTATACTATTTCAACACCACAAAGATAAAAAAACACTGTGTCCAGAAAACGATAGAAAACTTACATATCAAAGCTGCTGCTAACTGCCTCTGGATTCCACTCACAATAATGAAGTTTAACATGATCCTTCCGGGCACAAAATCGATAGAGCGCTACGAGCCACGAAATGTGACTGGTTTAATTTACGTTTCAATTCTTCACTCGCTCACTCACACAGGAAGTCGTGAAAATTTTGCACGTCTTCCAAATTTATCTCCAATTCTTGCATTTTTCAAACCTCATTACTTGACTGCTTTAATTTTGCAACTGTCTCATGAATTTTATCTTCCTGTATTGCTTTGCGGAAGAATCGTTTCCATGTAGTTTACAGTCGTTGCTTCAAATCATTCCAAAATCATTGCGTATAGAATTATATCCATGTTACACTCTCTTCAATATTATTTCTCAGCACGTCGCATCATCACCTAAAAGTAGGTATATTGGTGATTACCTGCTTTTATTACTAGATGCTTAATGACTCAAATTGAACAGATTTTCCCGTTTGGAGAATGCTTATTTCTCTCTGCCAAATTTGCGGAGTAGAGTTTTGCACCCTCAGAAAGTACATTCGTGTACTCATTCACCGTTTTTGTTTCAAAATTAGGCCATTTTCAGGGAAAAAGTTAAAGTATCTTCTTTCAAACTTATATTAAAGACAATTCCCAGATATAATCATTGTATTCTTTATTTATTTATTTATGTCTTATTTGATTAAAAAAGAAAAAAGAGGAAAGAAAGCAAATTAAAGTGGCTATGACAAAAAGTCTCACTTGTGTAGCGAGCTTAGAGGCAACCAGAATTGTTTACCTTACTCTCTGTAAATGTGCTTAAATATCAGATCTCTTCTTCATAAAGAAGTTAATGCCGAAAAACTTGGTTCCTGCAACAAGGACCCACACTGCCTTGCTAAGGAAAAACGCCGCAAGAAAATTCGAGAGTTGCCAAATTTCCTAAAATTAATCGTGTACTTTTGATGACATTCATGCTCATTTCAAATTTTCAGATATTTTAGATTAAATTACGTACATAATAGTCTGAAATTTTTGGGGAAAAATAATTAAAATTTGTCCAGTAAATCCGGTTTTTATCGAAAGAAATTTGGCAACCTCTGAAGGCTCGTACGGCCTTCTTCCCTAACACGGCAGCATAACAGTCGCTCACACCGTTAATTTTCCGTCCGAGTGATTATTTTTCGGAGGTTTCCCATGGATTCCGCCATGCAGTTCATCCTGAATCAACTGCAGGGATTTTCCCTTCGTTTCCATCACACAAAAGTAAGTGAAAACCCAATTAACAACCCCAACCGCAGCGAAAACCAAGAAATTGGCGTACAGGCCAACATGCACAGTAAGCAGTGCGAACACAGCTATGCTGACACTCGATGAAACCGAGACGGCCATAATGGTCAAAGCCGAGGCTTCAGCTTTCAGGTTGCTC